GTAGTCCACTCCTTCCCGCTGTTGAAACCCTTTCACTACTAATCTGGCCTTGAATCTCTTGCTTCCATCACTCTCCTGCTTGACCCGGTAGACCCATTTATTGTGCAAGGCTTTCTTCTGTGCAGGTAGCTGGGCTAACTCCCATGTCTCATTAGTGAGTAGAGAATCCATCTCCTCCTGCATCGCATGCTCCCACTGCTGAGATTCACTCACTTGCACTGCCTCTTCATAACACTCCGGCTCTCCGCTATCTGTTAAGAGTAGATAATCAAGTGACGAGAGGTATTTGGGATTTGGTTTGGGTACCCTAGATGACCTCCTAGGCTCCACGCCCTGGGTAGTAGCTTCTGCACCTGTAGTCTCCTCCGTTCTACGGTCAGAACTGACATCGTCGCCCCCATCTGGAAGTTCCTCCAAATCCATGTACTCGGATCCACCTGTATCCGTAGTGCTGCTCCCACTGCTTTGGCTATCCTTGGCATTGTCCCTGTCCTTGTACATCACCTCCTCATTGAATATCACATCCCGGCTCCTGATGATCTTCCTGTTCTTCTCATCCCAAAGGCGATACCCGAACTCATCAATGCCGTATCCAATGAATGTGCACTTCTGTGACTTAGCTTCTAGCTTGTCCCTGACATGGTCACTGATATGAACATAAGCCACGCAACCAAATACCCGCAAGTGTGAGAGATTTATCTTCTTTCCACTCCAAACCTCCTCTGGAATCCCAAAATCTAATGGAACTGATGGCCCGTGATTAATAAGGTATGCTGCCGTATGCACCGCATCCGCCCAAAATGTCTTAGGCAGACCTGCATGTAATCGCATGCTCCGCGCACGCTCTGTCAAGGTCCTGTTCATCCTCTCTGCAATGCCGTTCTGCTGCGGCGTCCCTGGAGTAGTCCTCTCTAAGCGAATCCCATTCGTAGCACAGAACCTCTTGAACTCCTCCAGCTCGTATTCTCCACCATTATCTGATCTCAAGCACTTCACCTTCAGATCTGTCTCGTTCTCGACCATGGCCTTCCACTTCTTGAAGATCTCGAACACCTCTGACTTGTGCTTCATGAAGTAAACCCACACCTTCCTCGAGTGATCGTCGATAAAGGTGACGTAGTATCTCGAACCGCCAAAAGAAGACTGATAATCATATTTTATTACAATTTTATACCCTCATTATCTATTTTACATGAATAAATATACCATTAATAATTATTGTTAGATTAGTTTGCACATAATTGAATGAAAATATAAATAAATATTATTAAATGTAAAAACCCCTTTCCACGGTGTCGATCCCGGTTAGCTTTCCTTGTGAATGTAGAATTTTCATCCCTTTCTCGCTCATGTGCCCCAGCCTATTGTGCCACAGATCTGTACTCTCCTTGCCAGCTGCAATTGCGAGGGTGTCACTCGCATGTGAAGTGAGGTAGAGAGTTCCCGTTTTGTTGCCTCGGGCAACAACCATCGTACCGTTGGAGATCCTCCACGAATCCCCGGTGAATGTCGAAACGTAGCCTTCTGCTCCAAGCTGTCCCACCGAAACAAGATTCCTCTTCAGCTTCGGCACGTGTCTCACGTTCTTCAAGTTCCACTTAGAGCCCTTTATCTGTATCTGAACGTCGCCCTTTCCAACAATATTGCAAGGTTCATTATCCCCCAAGTATACTTTACCAAAGTCCCCTGCTACATAGTTCTGAAGTAGTTTCCTATTTGCAGTGGCGTGGAAAGAAGCTCCTGAGTCGATGACCCAAGAATCAGAATCGCTATCCATAGCAAGGATCAAGGCATCCTGCACGATATGAGCCTCCTGCTCACCCGCATCCTTCTTTGGTGCTTTACAGACCGAAGACATATGGCCCTCCTGGCCGCAGTTCCAACACTTCCCTTTGATAGACCTAACCTTCGAGTTCGGCCTCTTCTTCACTGATTTCGACCGATTCCTGTTCTGGTTCCCTTTCTTCTGGCTTCTGCCTCTCTGCTCGAAACTTAGGGCTGAACCTGAACCTTCTGATTCGGACGATTTCCTTCTAACCTCCTCGGATAGAATCATGCTAACAACCTCATTCAGCTTCAACTTCTCTTTCCCCGCCGAATTGCTGATTGCCGTCACACAACCTGCCCAACTATCCGGCAACTGCGATAGTAGTAGAAGGGCCTGCACTTCGTCATCGAACGTGATGTCCACGGAGATAAGTTGATCAACAATCGTGTTGAACTCGCTGAGGTGCATCGTGAAGGACCGTCCTTCTGCCATCTTGAGGTTGAAAAGAGTTTTGACTAGATGCACCTTGTTTGCTGCCGACGGTTGCTCGTACATCTTCGCGAGCGCTTCCATAAGCCCCACCGTCGTCTTCTCCTTCAGAATATTGTGGGCTACTGATTTGGCGAGCGACAACCGGATTTGCCCTAGAGCCTTCCTATCCAGTACCTCCCAATCACCATCTGACTCCGTCGTCTTCTTTCCCTTTTCCTTGCCCAGAAGCGGGCGATACAAGTCCTTCTGGTACAGATAGTCCTCCATCTGCGACTTCCAGTAGGCAAAATCCGATCCGTCGAACTTCTCAATCTTTGATTTGCTTTCCTCTGCCATGGCTTTCACACAAATTGCTGAACGAAACTCTGATACCAGTTGTTGGGGATTCGAAACAATCAATCGAACCCTTGCCCTTCCGGACCTTGTGTTGAAAGTAGGAAAGTAGGAATAAACCACAAATAAAGATCTAACCTTGTAAAAACAGTAAAAGAGACGAACACACAGATTTAACGAGGTTCGGCAACGTGCCTACGTCCTCGGGAGCCACACCACACAATCTTTCTATTAATTGAAGAAGAAAATACAAGCTCTCAAATAAGGGGTTAATCTCTCTGAGATTCTCTCTCTCTTAGCAGCCAAAAAGCTCTCTTTTTGATGTCCTACAAACCCTAGAAACGTTTGGGTATTTATAACAAACCCCAGCAGAACAGGATTCCTAGATAAAATAGGAAACAGCGAATCTGCGTCGCGGTCGACCGCTTTGCCAAGGTCGGTCGACCGGTCAGAACGACGAAATCCTACAGGGTCTTGTGCACGATATCGGTCGACCGCAGCGACCACGCCGGTCGACCGGCCAGAGCGAAAACTTCTTCTCAGTCTCCTGCAGTGCACGCGGTCGACCGGCTCTGCCACTGCGGTCGACCGCATAGTCTTCTGACTGTTTTCTTCGTCTTTTCGATTGCAGCTTTGGGTCTACACACTTAGACTAACACTTCTAGGCTGCAAAATCCAGTTTTGCAGCCCCTTTGGAGAAGCTCTTAGAGAGTGAAATTCCCTTTACAATTAAACTTCTCCATGTCATACTACATTTGAGATGTTGTGGTAGCCACCATAGCCTTCAGCCCTTTTTCTAACTTTTTTGGAAATAACATTATTAGCACTATTGAATCCAAGATGAGATAACCAATTAACCTTCGTCTTGAGACCAATTGTTGGAGATTGTTCATAAGTTAATCCAACCTTTCTTTTGGAGTTTACTGTGGAAAACTATTAGAGAAATAATAACAAAGCACAAACAAAAACTAGCATGCAATCACAAAGCAAGGAGACGAAATTTACATGATTTAGCAATCATGATCCATTTGAAACCAATCACAACAATTTCAATATGTTGGGCAATTACAGCACAAGGAGTTATTTATGCTCTTTAATCATGATCGTTATTGGATTGGAGACTTGCTGCACTAAATTTTAAACTGAATAGGAGATCAATTCTATCTTGGATCATATCTATTCTCAAAAAAAAAAAAAAAAAAAAAAAAAAAAAGAAGAAGAAGAAGAAGAAGAAGAAGAAGAAGGCTCTCTCCTTGCTAAGTTACTTGGGAGACAAGCGTCCATGTACTTAAAGAAGTCTATTTGAGATCGGAATCCAAATTCTGTCTTGGATCATATAGACTAGATTATATCACATAACACTCATTCAACGCCATCCATAGTTGCAATGATGAGAATAATGGTATGTCTTGTTTATGTGATTTCTCAGTCATACATCCGCTGAATGGTTCTTGAACCTGAATTTGATGCCTCTGCACGTTTATGTTGAAAGATAGTACATCTGTACTGCAACCCCAACATATGTGGGTGCTCATGATTTTAGAATTCATTTCTTTTATTTTGTAGCCTTGAAAGAATTATATGTTTTGTTGCTAATGTGAACCTAAAACACACTAAACTGTAAAATTTTCAAAGCTACAGTTGTATACCTTGTATGAAAAAGTGTTAATAACAAACAAGAGCTCATTCCAAATTAACCACTTGAATTGAACAGGCTTTGAATGGCGTTAAGAGTATAAAATTATAACTCTTCACCCTTGTCTTAAACTTTTAGAGTTTTGGTGTAGTGGAAGAGATTTTAAATGCTATCAGACAACCTATGTTCAAGGCTTTTTAATTAGACACAAAATTCTAAAATGAATTTAAATAAAAAAAAAAACACCATGTGAGTCCAGGTTTTGTCCCATGGAAGGGCACTCAATCTGTTGGAGCATTTTAGAGTATGAAAGTATTATCTTCAACCCTCTTCAAAGTTTTTATGTAGTGGGAGGGTCCTTTGATAGAGTGTTGATAGTGTGCAAGCTTATTAGGGGGTACTTTTTGATATGGTAAATCACATTCCAAAAAAAGCAATGAATAAAATAGTTTCATTTTTAATATAAAGTATTAGAGAAGGAATTTTTCGCTACATTCCTACAGAAAGAAGTATAGCACTGTCGCAGATAACATGTTGTCATTAAACTTTCAATAATGATAGCAGAATTGTGGTTATCTCTACGTATAGAGATCCCAGGTTTTATATTGTATGTATGGCATAAGCGACAAAAAGTACAAATCTTGAAAGGCATCAATTAGGTGACCTTTTTTTGATAGTTTATTGGGTATCATCTATTTCTAGATAAACTAAATTTTGGAGAATAACATAAATTATGAATAAATTTGGTTATTAATTATCGTTTGGTTTCAGGGTTATTTAGTTGGCAATCCAAGGACTGGTGAACTTATTGATTACAATTCTCGGGTCGCATTTGCACATGCCATGGGCATCATTTCAGATGAACTCTATGAGGTATTGTTACCAATGCAAAGAGAAATTTTTCCATAACACCACCTATCAACCACTTAAAACCCATATCGTCCTTAATATATACTTCTAATTAATATAATCTTGTTTGTCAGGCGATACATGGATATTGTGGAGGAGAGGATTATATTAATCCTAATCCCCTCAACTTACGATGCATTTCGGCACTTGATAAATTTGAGACGGTGAGCACCTTATACGGTCTAAATCATGTCTTGCCAAGTAGGAACTCATTTCTCCTGTATGCAGTTCAGAGCCGAACTAGAGAAAAACTATATTTTGGATCCCAAATGTCCTGCGGCATCGCCTCAAAGAAAGAAAATGTCTGGTGATCGGTACTTACAGGAGAAGCATTCAGACATCCTGCTACCACCAGCGGTGGTTCCTGGATTGGAGTGTAGAGTAAGTGAAATAACATTTTTTTCACAATTAACAAATTGGGTTGTTTACAGGGAACCACACGTAACTTGGGCCCTATTTCACATTACCATCCTCAATTACCATACCTGATTTTCAGAAAACCACCCCTTTGTACCACATTCCGTATAACCACTTGTGCTCTCTCCATCCAATTCTCCATCCGAAAATAATCTATAGTTTGATGGAAAACTCTTGGCTTCTGTTTTCAAGATTTGACTGTTTTCGATATTATGTAGTAGCAAACACTATACTGTGGTGGATGGTACTTTATGTTCTTGTGATGCTGTAGTCGTTAACGCTGTGGATACCTCAATGGTGCTACTGAAAAAGTTCTACAGGTATGGTTACTCCAATACTTGGGTAAATCGAAAGCCAATGTTCAATAATAAGAGACTGACACATAATGAATAAAATCTCAAGTAAGCAAGGGGGTAATGTGAAATAGGGCTAAGTTAGGGGTGGCTCCCTTTCAAAACCACTGTCAAACACAGCACGTACCATTTTCAATTTGATCAGGTTGCAATTAGTAGTAGTACCAACATCATTATTTACCAAGTGGCAGAATATTTTTTTGCAGTCGTATGCTTATTTCCTATCCTACTATTGGGCAAATGATTATAACATCAGAGAGGATCTCCACGTCAAGAAGGTGCGCCAAAAACTGCCATTTTTGACTCATTTAGTCGGTCATGTGGCCAGCTGATGTATGAAAACTTACATGATATGATGCACATTGATATATTACTGAATTACTTTAATGCATTCATCTCATACGATCTTTTGAAAGAATAACTGAAATTTTAGATTTGCTCCTTTCTTTGCCCACTATTTGACTTCACCAAGATATGGAAAATGGGGTGAAGAATGAAGTTTATGCTTTGTCCATGATCGAAATGAGAGAAAATGTCAAAAGAGAAATTTCAGTCGGGGGGTGTATGTGCTATTGTTAAGTGGTAAGGAGTACCTAACCCCCGCAATAGTACATTGTACCTGCAACTGACCCTACAACCGTATACAATGATTTATAAACTTGATTTCATCACAAAAATATTTCTTACTTCTATGAGAAGCAGGGAACTGTAGAAGAATGGGTCAGGTGCAATAATAGCCTTGCGTATAGCGAGAACGTCCAAAGTTCACTAGGACATCATCTCAACGTAACCATGAAAGGATACAAAGCATTGGTATACAGGTAAAACTGTAGACAGCATAACATGCTATAACTTTAATCCATGGTCATTTTATGAATTCTTTCGATCTACACAGTGGCGACCATGACATGGCCGTGCCATTTATCGGCACACAAGCATGGATTCGATCTCTCAACTACTCTATTGTCGATGATTGGCGCTCGTGGCATGTGGATGGCCAAGTTGCTGGGTATGTAAATTCTTCGCAGCGATCACTTGAAAATTATTTGAGTCTAAAATTATGACTTTGACTGTTCTTCTTTTTCTTCTGTTCATCAGATACACGAGAAAATACTCTCATAATTTGACATTTGCGATAGTAAAGGTAAGGAGTTTGTATACATCGACTACGGATTAAATTTGAATTCTTATGAACAGTTCCCGTCTCTTTGTAAAGCAGAATGCCGGTCACACGGCGCCGGAGTACCAACCGAAGAATTGCTTGATTATGATTGATAGGTGGATTTCGCATGAGTCTCTTTGATATACTCCCAAATGATTGGATAAAGGGATGTGTAGTCATTGTTTATAAATTTAAATTTCCTTCGAAAAAAACTTATATCTGCTCTTATATTCGTGCAAAAACAAATATTAGAGATATCTACAAGATTATTTTTTGACTGACTTAAGTTTAATACTTGCAGATTGCTCATTGTAGCAAGTTACGTCTTGTGGTGTCTACCTGTATCTTCTTTTGTTCCAATTTATTTTCTGTGAATTCTTAATTTTCTCTTGGGAAACTAAAATAGATTTTTATTTTAATTGACTATCATGATTTTCTGTTAATTACTACCATGACAGAGTTAATAACGTGTTAGTGATGATTACACCTCTATATTTTCAAATTAAAATAATAAGAATAATTCAAAAGTAATTTTGCTTATAATTTCAAATAGAGCAATGTTTTAATTGTATATTCATGTCGTCTTCTACCATACTAACTCGACACCGACTCAAAAAAAAAAAAAAAAAAAAAAAAAAAAAAAAAAAAAAAAATTTTTTTATACTAACTCGACACCGACTCAAAAAAAAAAAAAAAAGAAAAAAAAAGAAAAAGAAAAAAAGTCTTCTTTTTCTTTTCCATTCTCTTCTCTTCCTTTTCTTTGACTTGAACCTATTTTTTCTTGAGTAACTGAGGCAAGGTGTCCATAAACTTTATTGATTAGTTTGAGTTAAAAGATTTTGATTATACATAAAAAGTGTAGGCAAGAAGACCTTGATAGTGGTAACAAAAGGAACTAATCTAGACATCTGAATCAAAGCATCACGCCCCTTCGAGACCTTTCTATACTCTAGTTTAAGATAATATTGTTACACCAAAAGGAAGATGATTATATAATCACGGAATAGAGAGTGTATTTATCTCTTGAGTTCATTTTGAAAAACCTCCCCATTCATCTATTCAAATTATATAAAAGTGGTAGTGAGGTAACACAGAGTGGAAGTAAAAACCTCAGAATCCACTAAGCGTTGTTCTCTGAATCCACAAAGAACGATCTCCAAATCCAGGAAGAGCTTTGAATCCACGAAGAAAATAGTAACTAAAATTTTTATTGATAAAAATGTATTATTCTTTGGGGTTACATGACTCTTCTTAAATAGAAAAACAAACAAGACTCCTAGTAAAACTAGAATTACAAAGAAATAGAAAATATCAAATTCTATCCTAAAAAAACTCCCTATAATAAAAGAAAACAAATCATGAATAAAAATTAAGTTTGTTTCCTAATCTAATTTGATTCTAATATTGAATTTATTTTCTAATATAAATAGACTCCAACTTTGTTACTAAAAAAAACTAAAAACTTATTATTTTTGGATTTCAGCCAAAACTGGGTATTATTGATGAGATTATAAAAAATGTGGTTGGTTCCTTCTCGTCGAGATATCAAGTTACTCAAAACAAGTATAACATATCAAATTCACATCCAAGTAATATCACCATTCATAAAAAGAAATAAACAACTAGATTGTAAACCTAGAATTGAATTAGCATAACCTATCAAACCACTCAAAAAAACATACACTACCAAACTCTTTTTTTACCAATTAGTTCTCTAATTGATTATTCTAAGCATGATCATTTTAAGCACAAAGAGAGTAATTCAAAAAACCAAAAAGATATTAAACTAATTTCATTTAATCCTAGATTTCCTATAAGAATTAGATACTCATATTACAAAATAAAAATAAAAAACTATACTAAAAAACGTTAAAGACAAGAAAGTAAATCTAAACTACAAAGCAAAGAAAAAAAAGAAAAAAAAAATCTTTACTACAAAGCAATTAAAAAAGCAAGAAAATAAATCTACACTACAAACATAAAATAAATCTATACTACAAAGAAATAAATCTAATCTATCAAACATAAAATAAAAATAAAAACTAAAATGGTAAAACATACAATTCTAAAATAAGAAAATAAAAAAGGAAATAAAAACTTGTATTGCAAGGGGTTGATTCCTTGTGAAACAAATCTTTGTCTTCATCATCGAAAGAGAAGAAGAACAAAAATTAAAAAGGAAGAAATTTTTTTTATAGCAAACAAAAAATTTACAATTGGGAAGGCCTTCTCAATTAAGGATGACCTTACTCTAAAAAGAGATATATAAAATTGTACACCTCAAAACGGCTCCTCTACCCCCCCCCCCCCCAACCCAAGCAAACAATTTTATCATCTAACCTCCACTCTAACCTCCACTCTAACCCCAAAACATTCTAAAATAGAAAATAAAAAAGGAAATAAAAACTTGTATTGCAAGGCGGTTGATTCCTTGTGACAAATCTTTGTCTCATCATCGAAAGAAAAAGAAGAAGAAAAAATTAAAAAGGAAGAAATTTTTTTTATAGCAAACAAAAAATTTACAATTGGGAAGCGCCTTCTACAATTAAGGATGACCTTACTCTAAAAAGAGATATATAAAATTGTACACCTCAAAACCTCCACTCTAACCCCCCCCCCACCACCCCAGCCCCAGTTCTAGCCTACAAAGCCTTTATACCCTTGTATTAGTATTGAGCCCCAAGAAATAAAAAACCAACATTGATCCATTTCTGTTATGATCTAATCAATTAGCTAGTTGATTAGTGTATCAATTTTTTCACAACAGATTTTGTTTTCTTATGTTAGCTTATTGACTTGATTTCTTCATGGGCTTTTTGCTTTTGAGCTTCTTCTAGGCTTCAATATGGGCTTGAAAAATAATCCTTAAATCTTAGTCGATAATTTTTTATTACGTGCAAATTAAAATAAAAAAAAATACTATTACAAATATATTTATTCAAATAAAATAAATAAATGAGGGTATAATTAATTAAATATAATTATTACTGTGCTTAGCAATTGCCCTAAAATTGGGCTAGTACTAATCCTGACCCTATTTTAAATGAAACCAGTTTTATTTTGGACAAAGGGAGAGGTGGTCCAAAAAAAAAATTTAAGGTCAAATTTGGCCTTAGAAAAACCGGATCAGACTTGCCCTAGTTTTATCCAAATAAAATTTTACCATGTTTGAACCTGGCCCAATTTTGAGGAGTTAGCAAACACAATATTTGTCTTGATGACGAACGTGGACTAACCCATGTCCAGAAAACAACGATGATTGCTAGGAGTAGGTATGTTGTAATACCCAAGCCTATGCAAGCCTAAGTCATTGCTCCTTTTTTTAGTTTGTTTTTTTAAAGCCCCAAATATGTCTATAGACCATATGGATCCCATGGGCAGTTAACATCTCATGGGAGAGGAGAGAAAAAAAATACATGGGACTTTTTTGTAACTACCCAACCACATTTCTCCATGAAAAAAATAATAATCAAAAGATCCCTAACCTTAAGGAATTTCCTATCTAACTCTATCCCTTTATAACAAACCTTTTTCCCTTCCTTTCTCATCTCATCTATTTTCACGAGAAAAAAAAGGGAAAAAAAAGTTAATGCCGATTTTTAGATTTTGGCAGAAGGAACAAATAGGGATCAATTTTAGAAATCACAAAAATTTATCGGCAAGCATTTCCATCATTCAAGTCTTTTTTTTCATGATCATCTTATCCATTTACTAGTATTTTTTCCCTTAGTGATCATGATGAAATAGTTGCTAGGTAGTTGTTATTATTATTATTTTTGTTCTCACAATCTTCTGAATAAACTTTTTTTCTATGAATTATCAAAGTGCTCGAATGTTTTTTTATAGTCGATTTCTTTGCTACTGTACAAATTCATGCTAGGAACAAATAAATATTCTAATGAGTAATATATATATATATATATATATATATTCCGTTGGATTGAGATTCATCCAATGGCTGAGATTATAAGACAATTAATGTTGCATAAGGGTAATCAGGTAAATTTATCAGCCTCCAAAGAGAGGTAATTAATGTGACTGTTGAGTTCCCCAAAAGTCACACCTCTCTTCAGTTGAAGGATTCGGTCATCCTCCAAAGAACCCAACTTTCTCTCTCTCTCCTACCCAGCTATCTCTCTCTCTCTCTCGTCCGCCATCAACACAAGCTTCCACGCCGGCAAAGCCAAGCTCACAAACCTGACCTCTAGTTCCGCCTGCACCCTCGCTGTCCCTCCAACCCGACCATCTCCATCTCCTCCGCTCCATTCCCAGCGAACCCGCCAACTCGAGTCGTCAACCCCACCCCCGCTCGAGCTCCGACCAGCAGCGACGACCGCGCCGCCTGAGTTCACCGTCAACCCCAAGCCCCGACGAGCCCCCGCCGGCGAACTCCGACCCTAGTCACCGCCTCACCTCCTCTCCGACCTCCTTCCTGAAACGCCGTCAGCCCCATTCGCCACCACCACGACCAGCCTTCGCATAAAAATTGTAACTTTTTGCTTAAAATCATCAAACACGTTCTATAAATGCATGAGTAAATCTCGATTCACTGCAGTGAATCTCGATTCACTGCAGTGAATCGAGATTCACTCATGCATTTATAGAACGTGTTTGATGATTTTAAGCAAAAAACTTCAGTGAATCTCGATTCACTGCAGTGAATCCAGATTCAATTATGTGAGGTGTTTGTTTTTTACCATAAAAATCATAACTTTTTGCTGTAAAAGGTGAAAATTTTTCATGTTATAAAATTTTATAGCTTGTTTTTTACCATAAGTTTCTTATTCTGCTTGGATGGTTAGAATGATTCACAAATCCAGTGGAGCAGCAAATCGATTGGAGTGAATCCAGATTCAATTCGTTGGAGTGAATCTGGATTGAAGATCAATTCAGTGAATCCAGATTCAATGCGTTGTTGTGTTCTTCACGTGAGATTTACAGAGATCGGGAAGTGAGTTAGAGAGAGAGAGTATTAAAGAATGTAGCACTATTAATGTAAGAGAGAGTATTAAAGGACGTGTATTAAATTTGTATCATTGTTCCAATGTAATCAGTCACCATTAATGCAATGAATTGTTCCAATTTTACCCTTTTCACATTAATGCAGTGTATTAAATTTGTCTATATTTACAATTCTGCCATCGAAATCTAGGCCATTGGATGAAATAGAATGTAGGGTTAGGATTGGTTTTTAGTTCTCTAGGTTTTTATTAGAACCTCTCCCTATATATATATATATATATATATATATATATATATATATAATATATATATATATAATATATATATATTATATATATATATATATATATATATATATATATATATATATAATA